TAGGAATTTGCATCTGTAGTTGGCGGAGTAAATTGCTGCCAGGTTCATTTTCATCATTTGCAGCCGTGTAGGGTATTTAAACTTAGCATTCTGCTCAATCTGCTAATCTGATTAAAGTTAGTAAATGACTGAATTTTCTTTAAGAGCGCTTCTAATCTAATTTTTAACATAACAAGCAGTATTAGTGCAATATACATGTAGACACCTGACACTGGTTGATTCATGAGCAGAGATCAGCTACCATCACCAAACCTACTATCAAAGAAATGAGACGCTTTGAACAAAACTCGGCAGCCTTTTATCAGGAAATTTCCAATCGACACCGTCGACCTTAACGATCTAATCAAAGTAATAGTGGCTGGCAACAAAAAAGAATGTTTAGCTACTGAAGTGCTCTTAATTCAAAGAAGAGCGAACGTCCTGAGCAGGGATGATGGCTTTTATATCCGTCCGTCATGGCTGCACTTCTGTGAACTTCTGACAAAGAGAAACAAGTAACACTTCACCTTGATAGTCTGTGCCACCTTATACTGTTTGCAGTTAATAAAATCTGGGAATATCAGCGAAACTTTGGTCCTGTGTGAAAAAATTTATTTCCTATATATTATTAGTAAAGTTTTAATACTTGACTAGCGTCTTATACACGAGTAAATCACAAAATTTCAAAGCTTTCAAAACCTGCAAAATATCAGTTGGTTTAGGCTGACGTTTTTAAAAAACGCGATCATCATCCATGCATTCTAACGAAAAAAACCTGGTTTACCCGCTGTAGTGTAAAAACTGCGAACCGCTATATGTTTTAGACCTAGAAACATTGAGAACTGAGAAATCTTGGGAATTCGTTCATCCGGTTTACATGAGCTTTTTTAACCTTGAGAAATCCTATCACCGGATCCCGGGCAACAATCTATAAGCGTGCCTGCAAACATGGGGCATGGGATCATTGTTCAGTTGCTAGGAGTCATGCAGTCACTATGTGCTGGCAGCAGATATTGCGCAAAAGTAAATGGCGTTAAATCGAGAGCTTTCATTTTGGCACTGGTCTCCGCCAAGACTGCATCTTTCTCACTCTCCAGTTTCTACTGTGCATGTACTGGAAAATAAGGCGTAGTTAGGGCGATGAGTGTATCAGCGTAAGAGATGTCGATACGAGAAGATTGCTGTTTGTAGACGACATTGTTTTGTTGGCATCTTCTGACACTCATCTACAGTTCTCTGGAAAGGTTTGCAGCCGAGTGCGACGTAGTAGCATGCATGCGAACGTCACGAAAACGAAAAACTTAGTGCTTCTCACTCTTTGCAGCTAAATGAAGTAGCAGCGGAAGCAACTGGAAAAATTCACGTACCTCAGGGATACGTTTGTTGGTAACTGAGAATGGGAAAAAGAGATCGACTGGTGAATTGGAACGTCTGAGCTTCGATTCTGCACATCTTGAACCTGGTTAAGGAAGAGTTGAGTCTGAAGTCTAACCTGTTTGTGTTCAAGTTCAGGTTTCATACCTATGCTCACTTAGGGTCATTAGTACTGGATGACAGAAACTTCGGTGCCATGTAAAAACCGCTGAGATGGCCTTTATAAGACGACTCACGAGGCTCACTCGTTTTTATATGGTCCGGAGTGCAGATATCTGATAGACTCTTGGCGTGCAGCCGCTAATTCTCCAGATTGAGAAGTCGAGATCGCGATAGTTTCAACACGCCTTGCGAGTATCTCCAGGAAGGACGGCGAAACAGTTACCACTTGTTCTGGTACTACTTGCTTAAGGAACCGAACGAAGACCCCGGGGACAGATAAGAATGAACAGTGGCAAATGTCTCCCCCGACTATGTTTCAGGCTCGGATTATGTTCTGCTGAAATTCAAACACTGGCACGGGGTCAGGAACGTTGGAGATACTGCCCAACGAGCTTGTCTGTGCGACCCAAAAGGATAAGCGATCATCGAAATTGACCTATCGACTGACTATTATAAATACTGAAACTCAGAATAGGTGACAGGTGAACTATCGTCAGAATCCATTCAGAACCTGAAGGGTGGCCTGGTCGCCCTTGTTTAGTAGAACCTCGTATAGTAGAACATTTCACGATGGCTGTATAGCCTCGTTTGACAGCGTTAATGGGTGGGGGCTGTGGTAATTAATTGTGCCAGCAACCAGATTCAGCGGGCTGTTACTATAACATCATTATTTGTTTGGTCTGCTTCGGGGGCCATTGTTGTGAAGCCAAAAATTTATCGATATGAATAAAAGATATTTTAAAATAATCTTAGGCTTGTACTCAAGACTGCTGAATCAGAACGTCACCCATATTTTTTTTTGATTTCCATTAAATTAATTCCCCAGATTAGTCATGTATTCAGAAACGTACGACATGCGAAAATACTTATGATTCAATCGCAAAAATGATTACCTGGGAAACAGGACTGAGGAATGGCGATGATACCGTACATTTTGCTACGTCCAGCAAGCGAGGCCTTCATCGTATTGTGTTGTCCGCCATACACGGATATGGAATGGATGAGTTTACTACAAAGCAGATGCTTGTACAATTTTACTGTATACCTAATAATCGTCATTTACTCCTCCCAATCCGTCCAGTAAAACATTTCCTCATCGGCTGCTGTCAGACCAAACGGATACTTCAATTGGTCATAGACCTTCCTTCTTCCGGCTTTGTTCACTCCAATGCACTCCAGGCGTTGGGTACCTGCACAACGCGGCTGTTTTAACGATAGCTTAGGCAAAACTTTATCTGCTTACCCGCGTCTGCCCAACAAACTTCCCGGCGGCGATGCAAAACGACCAGACCGTTAGGAAGTGCTATTCCGTCAGAGACAAACGACTCTCGATCAGTTCCGTCCAGATTGAAACGACCTATTTGCGGCTGTTGTCGATGCCAGTCAGAGAAGTAGATTTTCCTTCAATACAATGGTGTATGCTTTGGTGATACTGACTAAGCGTACAGAAAAAGGCAACTACTTTTCGATGTGATCGATCGCCAGCGCTCTTGGGTTTACCAAACCATTAGTCAGGACGGTGTATCTGTATTTACCGTCCATCGTAATAACGCCAATTTCTTTCTTACTCGAATCAGCATAGTATATGTTGTGGCTGAGCCAGTCGAGGGCGATGCCTTCAGGGGAGTTTAGTTCTAAAATTATTCATTCATTGACTGATCTGTGAATCATTGTTCAGCGGAGCCTTCTTACCAGCGTCGTAAACTACACTGACCCCTGAACCGTCGAGATTGGCCTTTCGTACGCTATGGCCGCTGACGTCCGTCCAGTATATTTGACCGTTAGCGCAGTCGTAATCGATACCGACGGCTATTTGGTATGGAGCGATGACGATTTGCTTGCCGATATCCGACGCCAGCATTCCTCGCTGCACCAGTGACATTCCTTGAGAGAAGATTAATATCTTGCCGTTCAGCTCCGAATCCGCTAAGTAATGACAGGTGGATAATCTCATAAGTCAAAGGTGTGGGTCATCATCCTTACATGTACACTTTTGACCGCTTCCATGATAACCCTCTTTGCATCTGCAAACGTAGCGCATATTTTCAGACACGCACACCGCGTTTTCGTGGCAAAGGTTCGGCTCCAGCATGCAATCTGCAAAAGCAGATACGTTATATAATATAACGTTCATAAGACACCCACTCACAATCGAATATTTAATTATCAGTATATAGAATTTCATCACAAATTTACCATAACAGTTTAATTAATTATACTGGTACATTTACGCAATTTTAATACATTTCTGTTGATGCCATGTATGAAAACACGGCGTTATTCGACAGTTTTGGCTGCGAGACCTTAGCATAAACGAAAAATGATGAAGAACTGTTAAGAGGGCAGCGGGCTATGGAAAGAAGGATGTTAGGAATTCCGTCAGAGACAAAGTAAAATGAAGAAATGAGAAGATGCAGGGAATACGCTATTAGTTCGCGTTTTATCAGTTTCAAAAGAAAAAAACATGACAAATGGCAGATCACTGACGAATACCCGATGGATTTCAGCAGCGACAGATTGGTGGTCAAGGGTGGCAAGCACACAAACAGAAGATCGCAGCTCAGATGGGATGATGAGCTAAAAGAGAGGTATGAAAGCATGTGGGGACAAATCGGACGAGACAGACTAGTGTTGGCTTTGAGGCCAGGTGATGGTGACACCGGTTAATTATGAAAAAAGATCGGACGAGATCATTAAGAATTTTGTAGTATCTGTACGCTCTGCAATCGTTTGACGTAACGTTAAATGTAATTTTTATAGATCGAAATGAACACATGCAAGAGAACTTGAACGCATCGAACTGCTTCTTGTGGTCGATTGTTGTAAGTGAGGTCATTTAACATATTGCATACTTAACGAAGAACGATGACAACATTCCTGTTGAACAAGTACTGAAAGAAACTAGGTCAAATCGTTTTTAACCGGATTTGATTTGCCTGTCGCAAACAGACCCCTTGCTTTTATGAGCATACGGTACGACCCCTTGATATTTGAACATCTGTGGCAAATTAATGCACGACCGCACCGCTACGCTGAAGTAAACGCGATGGAGCGCTAGAGCTGTAACTAAACTGCAACCATCTATTGGCAAGTACATAGGGACGGTTCACTCCAACATAGTGGGGATAACTACGGCAGATGGTCGCCTGTAATTTCGGCGGAAAAGATATTAGGTCAATTAATTTCTCAGTAAAAATTGTGCCGCTTTTAAGCATGAGTATTACGCATACTTCAGTAAACGTTTCAAATGAACCGAACCGAACACCCATACCTATCAATGGCTCAGTCCCATAGCTTGGTATGCGCAAAAACTAGTACGTGTGTGAGCACTAATGTCATCTACTGTTGAGCCTCCGAAGTTTGACGCCGATCGGATGACGCGTAAAAGCCTCCAACGTTTCTGACTGACAGTCGATGACAAAGGCAAGGCAACTGTACAAGCGAGATAAAATATGGTGAGCAAAAAAGCCCAGAACAATTGTGCAAACAAGTTACTCTGTACCCCTTACGTTTCATACAGTATCGTAGTCGCTGCCCACATTCTTACCAACGATTCACTGAATGGCGTATATTACCTCGAAGACTAGTTTGCATGGTGTGTTGCACTATTTCTCGCCCTCAG